GTCTTGAAAATAAGCCCACACACTGCTATGAAATAGTCTTAAGGTTAGCAAATTTTTCTGCTACAGTAAGCATGACTTTTCTAATTGCTAAGCAGCTCCATGAAATTGGGCTCGGATGTTGGATTTTGGAGGGTTAGAGACTGGGATTTACCTCGTTGTCGCTGTTGCTGTCCTCTGAGGGAAGTTGAGTGCTGTTGTCATCGTCGTCATGATCATCGCTATCGTTATTACCATCTCCCTGCTCGCTCACGGAATCGTTAGTTTGTTGGGACAGGATCTCTTCTCCCTAGAACATGACAAAAATGTTCATTACTTTGCTGAAATTCCCAAGAGAACGACGGCTGCCTGTGGGGCAACACAATGGCAACAGCGGGATGCCTTTTGAGGAATCCCTGGTTTCATTACCAGAAATGTTACACGACCCCCGTGTTTTCTCTCCGTATTCTAGTGGCCAGTTTTACCATTGGAATATTCCAGCAGTTCTCTGAGACCTTCGTCCCCCCATCCACATTACCTGCAGATCTCTGTTCTTGAGGTTGCCCACCCAGAATGCCTCCTGGCACTTGTGCAGTGTCAGCATAGCCTTGACTCTGTACACAAACGACTCCAGGTTCCGCTTAACGGCTGGCACGTGTTTGTTCAGCGACACGTCCTTTATGACCTGTAACAGCAATGCCACAGGGAACATAGCTTTGGAATGCGTGGCAACTGCTTTCATGACACTGAGCTTATCTACACATTTGTGTGAGATTCATACCATGCACATGTTGTGTACAACATTACAAAGAGCCGCTGAAATTGTGTGACTTTTTGAAATTGAGGAAGTACATACTGAAATGAAAACCGATCTTCAAATTTCTCAGGTGCACTCAAAATGGAAAAAAATCAGGTTTGCCATCACAGCCTCCATGAAAACTCCTTTGAAAGCAACTTGGTACGCATGTACATGTACTTAAACCTCGATGCAAAACACAAAGGTCATTGTAATCATTTTGAAAGAGGTTATCGTAAACAAAGAGCAGCCCTGGCCAACCTCGACCGACCCTTGCTGTAATGCCTGCAGACATGCCTGCACA